AATTAAATTAAAAAGATAAATTGCATTTCTTCACCATTCTCTTCCATATCCTGCCGCACAAATTCTCCATGCCTCGTGACAAATGTGATTCTTTTGTACTCAGGACAGGATAGATTTCTGTACTTGTGATTGTAGTGTAGTTCCTGAGTATTGTATATGATGTTTTGAGATATGAATCGACTTGTTATTGATGTTTTTAAATTTATAGACTTTTGTTTAGACAGTGATTAATTGGAGAATTGTAGATGACTCTGGTAAATGGCTGGGTTAATTGATATTCTTTCCAAGTTAGATCTTGGGGCGTGACAACAGGTGAGCCTAGTGGGTGTTTTCTCAGCATGTCAGTGAAATTTAAATATCTAAGTGCATCTTTCTTAATGCGACCGAAACCATTACGAGTCTTCAAGCAGATACACAAATACCCATGCACATCTTTTTTGGCATGGTGGGATAGAAAACCCCCAGCCGTGACACCAATCATACGTGTCTTTCTTAGCATGATAAGAAGGCCTAGCGCTCCTGATGTTGCACCCTACACGAGAAAGACAGCGAGACGTTGCCAAAATTTACATTAGCTAGGGACTCGATCAAGATAAAATAAAAAAGAATTTTTGAAGATAAATTAAAATGCGTCTGAGCTAAATTTAAAATTGCAAAAATAATAAAATGAGAATAAATTTGTAAAAGTGAGAACAAAATTAAATTTATAGGAGACTTGTAATGAAATTGAAAAGCTCGCTTGTAAGAACTAAAGTTTCTCAAAATCAATTTGGCTTCATGCCGGGTAGGTATACTATGGTAGCTATATATTTATTGAGATGTTTGATGGAGAAGTATAGAGAGAATAAGGAGGATCTACATATGATATTTATTGATTTAGAGAAAGCTTATTATAAAGTTCCAAGAGAAGTGCTATGGAGAGTTCTAGAAAAGAAATGGATTAATAATGTTTATATTCAACTCATTAAGTATATGTATGCAGGAGTTGTTAGTTTTGTTCAAACACAAGGTAGTTTGACCAAGTATTTTCCTATTTCAGTTGAATTACATCAATGATCAACTTTAAGCCCATATCTTTTTGCTTTAGTCATGGATGTTCTTACTAGACATTTGCAAGATGATGTACCATGGTTTATGCTTTTTACTAATGATATTCTTCTTGTTGATAAGTGCTATGGAGAGAAAGCTATGGAGAGTTCTAGAGAAAGCTTATTATAAAGTTCCAAGTGAAGTGCTATGGAGAATTCTAGAAAAGAAATGGGTTAATAATGTTTATATTCAACTCATTAAGTATATGTATGCATGAGTTGTTAGTTGTGTTCAAACACAAGGTAGTTTGATCAAGTATTTTCTTATTTCAGTTGAATTACATCAATGATCAAATTTAAGTCCATATCTTTTTGCTTTAGTCATGGATGTTCTTACTAGACATTTGCAAGAGGATGTACCATGGTTTATGCTTTTTACTAATGATATCCTTCTTGTGATAAGACTAGAGAGGGAGTTGAAGGTGAACTTGAATTATGGAGGTCAACCTTAGAGTCTAAAGGTTTTCGTTTGAGTATATCTAAAACCAAATATATGGACTATAATTTTAGTAATAGATTATTAGATCTAGTGGGGGGATTGTGACTTTTGGAGATTAAGTCGTTAATAAGTACACATTTTAGATATCTCAAGTCTATTGTCTAAAGTGATGGTGAAATAGATGGGGGATATTATTAGTAGAATTCAAGTTGGATGATTGAAGTGAAGGAATGCATTGGAACTGTTGTGTGATAGAAAAGTAAACCTCAAACTTAAGGGAAAATTCTATAAGATTGTGGTGAGACCAACAATGTTTTATGACATAGAATGTTGGCCATTAAAAGAGAAGCATAAAATTAAGTTAAGTGTTGTAGAGATGAGGATGCTCAAGTTGATGAGTGGCTTTACTCTTAGAGATAGAATGCAAAACGAGCATATACGTGAAAAGGTTGGAGCAACTCCAATGGCAGATAAGATTAGAGAGTGTCGCCTTAGATGGTTTGGCTATACAAAACATAAGCCTTCTGATGTGGGTTAGGAGAGTAGATGTATTAGATTTGGCCTATATATTAAGAAAGGTAGAGGAAGACCTAAAAAAAAATTGTTAGAAAATATTAGAAATGACATGTTTTGTTAGATTTAAATGAGAATTTGACTCATAGTAGGACACAATGGAGAAAAAATGATTTATGTAATCCAACCCCACGTAGTGGGATAAAGGCTTGATATTGTTGTAAGCATGTAACCTCATACTACTATTAAAAACACTTGCAACCCATAGGGACTGACTCGGTGAATTGAACTTGGAATTAAAATGAATCCAAGTTAGCTCCTATTTATAGATGGAAGAATGATTCCCCATAGTGCCCGCCTCAGCTAAAATCCACCAATATAAAGATAACGAAAGGAAAAATGAAAAAATAGGCAAAAGAGAAGTCATTGTGGAAGGTGATAAGATTTTAGTTCATTTTCTACGCCATCTGATCGGCAAGACCTATATGCAAGCAAATAAAAAGTGGAGGGCGCTCTTTTAAAATTTCAAAATAAAATTATGTGCGCATTTTAATGATAATACTCACAACTAAATCTACAAAACATGCACAAGTAGATAGAATGCGAGCAACCATCAAACACTTTGTGCCACACGTTACATGGATTTGGTGTTTAAAAAATTTGATGATTTACTTCAACACAAAAATGTCTTAACTAAAGTAAAGAATATAAGTAAATTCACCTACAATCATTCATGGGTTTTGGCTTTGATGAAAAAATTTTCTTAAAAAGAACTCCTATGCCTTGCCATAACTAGAATTGTTATAACATATTTGACTCAATAATCATGCTAGAAGCTAGAAAAACAATTTAAAACTAAACTCACTTCCACACAATGGTTTAAATATGCTTGAATAAACAAAGCTGAGGTAAAAAAAGTTAGAAAGATTATTCTGAATAAAAACAATAAGGCCATTGATTCCAAGTTCTAAGGATGTGGATGCAAAGAAAAAGTTAATCATGAGCTTCATTTACAAAGCAATAGATGATACTAAGGAGTTGATAGTCCATAATGTAGAAGAAGATGAGTCTAGCTATAAGTGGGTCTGAGATATCATTTGATGAATCAACTCAACAAATCCTAAGATCACATCAGGATTATAGTATAGCATGCATAAGTTGATTGCTAATCAAATTGAGAGGGTGAATACCGATATGCAACTTGTACAATTTATGAATAAAGAAGATTTCTTTGGACTACAACAAGCCAAAGATATAGCTACAAAATATTCTATAGATAATTTTTAATATTTATTGATTAAAATAAGAAAAGACTACCACTTTAAACTACACTTTTTTTTCTTGAATGGTGGATCTAGCTTGATAATAGCACCCGAAAGCTACAGAAATTTTTTATTAAGATATTGAAACTTACATGTTCATCATTTGGTGCAAGCAAAACTGAAGCACATATAATCAAGTTTACACAAAAAAGGAGAAATCATCTGACTATCTCAAGAATGAGCTCCTTGATGTACATCAAGAGATTGAAGAATGGAAAATTGAAGAACAAAGGGTTTGAACAATGATGCGGATTCCTTACTTCAGGATGATGCGCCATCAGACGATGAATTACTTGAGAATGATGATAATGAAGTCACATTATCTGATTTATAACAAAAATATATAATTTTTTATTTCTTTGATGGGGACAGAAACATGATAAATATGTTTAACAAACGCCTGTTAGAAATAAAAATAAATGGTATCTATAAAAATTTAGCTATTTGAAGTTATTTTGAACTTTAATTGGTATTCTTAATTCCTTATTGATTATTATTCTTAATTCCTCATTGATTATTACCGATTAGAGAAAAGTAAAGATTGACATTGAAGAATAGAAGAAGAATGGGAGAACTTGGATACAACTGAAGATGGGTAGAGGAAAAAGCTATTCATTATGATGATGACTCTAATTAAGACCCCCTAAGTGATGAAAGTATGTGAAGTATGAGTGTAAGAGAGCCAAGTCGGCTCAAAGTCAACTCATTAATGAGCTCATGAGTTGAGCTTATCAAGCCACGAGTTTAAATTTGGACTTAAATTTGATCTCATATATTATACGAGCTAGGCTCAGCTCAGCTTATTGACATATCAATCTAGCTCGATTAATATCAATTGATACAACGACATTTAAATTAGCATAATTAATTGTTTATAGGCCATATCCAAAATAAGAAATCAAACTCAAAAATGAGTCAGGCTCGGGATTTCTTATCAAGCTCAAGCATTCAAGTCGAGCTTGAGCCTCATATTTTTCACTCTAGCCTAGTTCAAGTTCAGCAAATGAGCTCGAGTTCAAGCTAAATATAAATTAAACGAGCTTGAATCGATTAAACAATAACTCAACTTGACTTAACCGCTTACACACTTATTAGAGAACACTAAGAACTTTCGATTAGTTATTTATTGTATTATTAATTGGATGTTGGATAATAGGAGTGGCATATATAAACTTATTGCACTAAACTTATTTAATATCTTATTTTGATTTGATATATTATATTATTTTGAATTGATATCTTATATTACTTTAATTTGATATATTATGTTACTTTGATGTTTGTATTGCAATTCTACTTTGTGCAATTTGTTTAATGATATATGCACAATTTATTACTTCTTTGTTATAAGGTCAATATGTTGGTTTTTAATAATATTAATAAGTTAGCAAGCTAATATATGTGTGTGTGTGTGTATAGAATGATATCCCATAGGCCGAGAGGGGAGGCTACTGTAGCGATGGAATCAACCTTGGCGTTAATGTCCAAGAAATATTTTTCCCCATTCAGCGATCCTTCATTGTAAGGTGATGGAGCTCATCTTACAAACATTTTATGTGAGATCAGTTTGTGTATTGCAGCCATCTTTTAATTGCCATTCAAGTTTTGTGATGAATCAAGGGTGGAAACATAAAGAAAGAGAGACTGTGCGGTAGAGAGCTACAACAAGGTTTTGATCAATGAGCATCAATGTGTTGTAATGATTGTAGAGCCTGGTGATGCCATCGTCATTTATTTATTTATTTATTTTGCGGTGTTGGAGTGAAGGCATCAAAGTATCCATCGAAGCCACTGTCCTTGAAAATTTTTATGATCTATTACCTCAAACTGGGATTATTTCAGTTGTGAGTTATAGATTTATGACACTTTGAAAATTGAATACTAGAAAATTTAATTGAAGAGAAATGACGATGTTTCCAAACATGATAGGTGCATTACATTATCTATTTGAAGTGTTCATTGTTGAAGATGCTTAGGGATCCATGGAAGAGAGTGTGGGATGTTAATGAGGCTAGGTGGATTGTTAAGAGGGAGCAGTGAGGCTAATTGGAATGCAAAATGTGAAGTTTAGGAAAGTAAGAAAGTGCTGTTGGGCTAGAGGCTCTCATGCTATGATGAAGCACAAATAGGACAGTAAACAGTGAAGAGAAGTAGAGGGAAGAAGACAGTATGCAAAAACTACATTTCATTCCATTGTACCAATGGATCAAAATAGTGAGTGGTTTATAGAGCGAGCCATATGAGTGTTGTTACCTGGAACAGAGCTATTAACATTTGTGTGGCTCAGATTGAGTTGATGGTTGACATCAAATGAATGAAATAACAGCAGGAGATAGTGACAGTGTGGCCAGGCTCGGGTATGATATTATGATTGCTGCCTATCACACTTAACCATCATCACCATCTTTAAGAAATGAAACCTAGTATGAACCTATAAATCTTTAGAAAATATAAGAACAATTGAAAAATGCAACAAAAGAAGAGTCCAAGAAGAAAACAATAGTAGTTCAAAGGATCCTTAGCCCAATGGTTAGACAAGAAGGTTGTTCTTATAAGATCATAAATTTGAGCCACATGCTTGCAATTTAGCTCTCATCATTCCAAACATTTAAAAAAAAACAGTAGTATTAGAATAAGATTGCATAGATTATAAAAATGGCATATTTAAGGCCCTTAAAACAATATTTATTCTCCCCACAGACTACCTGGCATACTAAATAAAAAAGCATCTACAAGAGAAAATAGACTATACAGTATTCTACCTAATAATTCTAACTAACGCATGACGCAAGTGGAAGAACATGGATCTGCAACAAAGTGCAAAGTACCCACAGTAAAGCTAACCTAACACTTCAGGAAAAATATAATTATTGATAGACCTGCAACAGCAGCATCTTGAAATCAAAATTGGAAACAGACAGACCTGGTAGCGCTCCGCTCTCTCGGCCAAGATAGATCCAAGCCAACCACCGGCAAAGATTTTCGCCACTCCAAGCCACAAGCAAACGCCGCAGAAAACCAAGAACACGACATTCCCAAGTCGTCTCCTATCCCTGAAAGTTAGCCCGGGCACGGGCTTCGCGAACACCGCCTTACCTAGAAGAGGCGCCGCTAACCTGAACCGTATGTTCTGCCCTTGATGCCACCTATCCGACGTCGAATCAAAGGGCGAGGGCGACGAGGGTAAATCTGCAGCATCGCTCATTGGGCTGCCTCCCATGCTATCACTGGACGAGCGGGGTGAGTGGATCTGGAGCTCGACCTCAGCGCTATTTCCGACGCTGCGCTTGAAAGAGTTGGCGCGACGTGTCATGGAGCCAGCATACCTAGGGCTGTGGACGCGCTGGTGGTGCGAGATGCCATCGCCGGAGTTGCCGCCAGTGCCCGCACCTTGGTGGTTGGCATGAAGCTGCTGGAAGCCCATGAGGGAGAGTTTGCGATATCTATGATTCAGGTATGGTTTTATCGTCTAATGTGGGAAAAATCCTTTCTTTTTGGGAGAAAAGGATTTTACATCGCCATCAATGGAGGATTTTGACGACGGGAAGATTCAAGGAATGTAGGCAGAAATGGCCGGAAAAGCCCGTAATTTTGGAACTGCCATTGAGGGACGATTTTTAGCTGCATATAACATTTTACTCTCGTCTTGTGGTAAATCACAAAATGCTCAGAGGTAATGATGTTTAGCTAATGGACTTTTTTTTTTTTTTTTTTTTGGACATTTAGGTCATTTAAGGCAAATTCACACACACAATACATACATAAAGTCTCGAACCCAATACCTCTTAGTTGGAAGCCTAAGTTCTCAACCAACAGACTAAGGTGAGCTGTGTCTAACGGACTAACTCATTCGTAGAAAAAAAATTATTAGGAAATTTGATGTTATATGTTTTATCATACTCAGAAATTAGCCAAATATTTTAATTTTTTTTAATGTACTTAAACATTTATTTTGAATCAAAATATTTTTTTAAAGAAATTAAACTTAGAGAACTCTCAACCAATTCTCCTCTACAATTACTATTTCTTTTATAGCCCTTTTTTCTCATATCTGACGGTCATTGTTCATGTGTTATCGATCAACAATAACATTTTTCGTCTCTTATCTTGAGTTAGTTGTTCAAATTTGTTGATGTTATATGTTTAGTTATTTATATTTGACTAATTCATTTTCACTGTAAATCTTGTTCTAACAAAGTTGGATTAAGACTCAAATATAACTGTGGCTTCGTTTGGTGCGGCTTTCTTGTTGCTTCTTAAAGCAGCTTTTCAGTACAAAAATTAAAATTTGGTACTAAAAAGCTGTTTTAAGAAGCAATAAGAAAGTCGTTCCAAACGAAGCTTGTATCAATATTCGACTAAGATTTAATCATTGGAGTAAGATTCTAACAATGTTTGGGTAAGATTTGAGCAATATGTAAATAAATTGTGAATACCATTTTGGCATTATTCGATCATTGTTGAAAATGATTCGAATATAATTAGAATTCCATTCTTTTACCCTTCGTATTTATTTTGAATTGACTTATTTGAGCTGTGATGGTATCTATTATGATGTCTGTTCTAATCATAGATATGAATACGAGTCACATATAGAGTAAATGTATGAAGAATGCGCTACTAAAGATTAATAGAAAGGTGGGCCCTCTTATCCCAAATTTGTCATGCCAAGCAAACCAGCTCATTATGTCTTTCTTTATGAGAATGATTTTAGTCATGATGTTTTAAAGAGCTTGCACATTCACTTCTCTATGTGTAAGTTGTATTAATTTTTAGTGAATACCATCCTTTAAGAAATGGGATTTCAATGTGAATCTAAATTTGGCTTTTTAACAATAATATTATTTTTTTTTTTTGCATCTTGTGGAGGTTTTATCTAACTGAATATAATTCCTTATTAAAATAAGATTTGAACATGAAACCAACCTTTTTGAAATATGACTTGAATTTTTTTCAAACAAATATCAATCATAATGGATTTTAAATAAGTGCTTTTCATTCAAAAGCACAAGCACTTTAGGCCTAAGTAAATTTTCATGCATTTTTAAGCAAGAAAAATAAATAATGAGTATATTTGTCTAATTTTGAGTTACATGAGGTTAGGGGTGCAAACGATTCGAGTCGAGCTCGAGTCAAGGGTTGTTCGAGCCGAGCTCTTCTGTCAAATGTCGAGCTCGAGCATGAACTCGAACTCGAGTCGAGCTCAAAAGTCGAGCTCGAGCTCGACTCGACAGATAAAAAAAAAAGCTCGTCGAGCTCTCGAGCGGCG